TCATATGTACTAAATTGCTTATCAGACTCGCGCTTCGAAATCTCCAGTTTGTTAATTAAATGTCACGGCATCACTCGGTCACCGGGTAGCGAACAGACGAAGAACCCGGAAAGGGTAGGGGGCGCTACGATCGTCGAATAGATGCAATAGGTGTCGCTATTGTATCGGTAGCTCACAACGACGACGGCTAGAAACTATCGACCCCGCATGTTATACCCCAGTTCCGAATCTAGTCGTTTGTCTAGTCGTATAGCTGGCTACAACTGGTCGTCAATCAACCCCGCTTGAAATAGCACAGCCGACAGCGGGGTCGGTGTCTAAGCGTCTGTTAGTATGTGTTTGATCATCTAGTTTGATCTAGTTTTCGTTAGCAACTGTCGACGGTAGTTTTGCTGTTAAGGAAGTGAGTTGTGGCTACTATAATTGTTCATAACCACGTTGTAGGTATGTATTAGGTATAGGGGCTTTTTATGTCCTTGTTAAAGGGGATATACGTTGTGGATTCAATGATATCTTTTACTTGCGTTTAGTTTCTGCTTTATTTGAAAGTTATTTATTACTGTAAAAGTTTACTAAATGTGGTAATTTTGACCCCGGGTACTTGAACTTTTACTGGTACTGTGTCCCCGACGACGTCAATAGGACATAACACTTTACCAGCCCTGCCCTGCGTATCCTTCCTTCCACCAACTGAGTTGGAATAAAAAATCACAAAATCAGTCGACATATTAGACATCGCAAAAACGGAAGCCTTCCCAGAGGCCCCTCCGTTACAGCTTCTTGCAAAGCAAATAAAATACAGTTTATGCGAAATATCAGTTAAAATCATGTTTAGTCAGCGTAAAATCTGTTTCCCCATTAAACTTGACGCTTTTAGATAGGTACCCAAGGTGTGCTGAACCCAGCGATGGGTAAATGGAAAACGTTGTTGGTACCTAGCCGCAGACAAAAATTTCAATTCTTTACTAAATAAACAGTTAATGGTGACGGGCTAACAATAAGTCCTAAAACACAGACAGATTCTTCTATTTTATCCGTGCTTAAAGTATATAAGTAGCTTTATTGACATACAACCGGCTACTAGTTGACTTTTTCAATAGAAATACAGGGTGGAAAGAAAAATATGTTCTGATTTTAACAGCCCGTCACATCAAATCGAGTAGTAATATCTCAAAATGAATTAGTGCATTTGAATCACCTTTTCTGGAAGTTTTATACCTGGTGTCATTCACACTCTTTCTCGCTCCTGGGCGTCCCCCACAGCACGTGTTCTGAGTAACCTCTTTTTCGCAGAATTTAGAGATATGTGTACCGCGCAACCTCCGAGATGAATTCAGCGCACAAATCGGGTGGATTCTACGTGCGACCTTCCAAATCGTCTTCATCACGTTCGGGAGACTGGGCTCATGGCTGGCACCTGTGATTTCATTAAACCCCACAGATAAAAACCAGGGGCGTCGGGCCTGAGAAGAGGGCTGGCCATGAAATTTCGGCTTTTTTGACTGGTCACGTGCCCTCTAAAGTGTTCCTCCGGCCAGGAGAGGCCCGCTCTTTACGTGCTGGGTGGAGCCCCGTCTTTTTTGGAAACAATTTACTCAGTTAAAACCTTCAGGGCTGCCACTATTTAACGCTAGAGCCTCTCCAGCACCCGAGCGTAGCGTTCCTTATTGACGGTGGCCGTGGTGCCTTTCGATGTTTCGAGGGAAACGGTCCGAATGAGCGGTAAAATCAATCCAGAACTGTCAAGTTTGGGCTTCATTCCCTCTGGGCACAACGTTATAGAGCCTTCTGCACAGTCTCACATTGACGTAATGATGTGTTATGTCCACCGCCTGTCTCATCGGACCGTTTTCCCTCGAAACATCGAAAGGCACCACGGTCACCGTCAACAAGGAACGCTACGCTCGGGTGCTGAGAAGGCTCGGGCGTTAGATAGTGACAGCTCTGGAGGGTGTAACTGAGTACACTGTTTCCCAAAAAGACGGGGCTCCATCTAGCACATAAAGAGCGAGCCTCTCCTGGCCGGAGGAACACTTTAGAGGGCACGTGACCAGTCAAAAAAGCCGAAATTTCATGGCCAGCCCTCTTCTCAGGCCCGACGCCCCTGGTTTTTATCTGTGGGGTTTAATGAAATCACAGGTGCCAGCCATGAGCCCAGAGAGTCTCCCGAACGTGATGAAGACGATTTGGAAGGTCGCACGTAGAATCCACCCGATTTGTGCGCTGAATTCATCTCGGAGGTTGCGCGGTACACATATCTCTAAATTCTGCGAAAAAGGGGTTACTCAGAACACGTGCTGTGGGGGACGCCCAGGAGCGAGAAAGAGTGTGAATGACACCAGGTATAAAACTTCCAGAAAAGGTGATTCAAATGCACTAATTCATTTTGAGCTATTACTACTCGCTTTGATGTCACGGGCTGTTAAAATCAAAACATATTTTTCTTTCCACCCTGTATTCATTCCGAATGCGCATAGAAAGGCCCGCGGTCACATACAGCGGGTACAAAAAAAAAATCATTTGATAGATTTGCAATTAATTCGATGAATCAATCGCCCTATATTTATAACTTGCAACGTGTAGAACCAAATGGATGATTAACTTTGAATATTGGGCTGAAACAGATCCTTCCCGCAGTCAGGAAATAGCATGCGAGAGCCTATTCAAATACACCTACTTCTGCCCGCATCAATCGCATGCGAGAGGTGCTTACGATCAACGCGAGCGTGACATAATGTATTTGAATAGGCTCTTGTATGCGTTTCCCTGACTGCGAAAAGAGTCTGTTTCAGCCTTTAGACCACTGCGCAGCTGCCAGTCTAATCAACAACTTCAGCCTGACCAACAGCATGAATTCAACTTTTTATTCCTGATTACTCACTCAAGAGTTTCAATGCTGAAGAGGAACGCCTCCGGAAAGAAGTCGCGGACCTGATCTTTTTCAGTTTCTCCGGCAAAAACACCGTCATCATCTTCATCATAAGCCATCTCACTGTCCATTTCCACGCCGGCGACGGCCATCACAGGAGCTGGCAGTCTGGCAGCGCCACCGCGGTAATTGTGCTTCTTGCTGAAACTCTGAACCATTGGGATCGATTGGATTTCGTTATACATAAAATCTCTGATTAGCAGGTTGAGTCAAAGGGAGGAGTTACGCGACTTCGCGCAGGGAAAATTTGTGTAGGATGCAAAAGTAGTTCAGAAAAACTTGGACAGTATTTTGAGTTGAGTTGCTGGCAAATATGCGGGCCAGTGGATTTTTGGTGGGGTAAGTGTGACATGACCTCTGATGGTCTAAACTTTTTAGTATTTTCATGCTTCGCCCCCGTTGATGCCGATTGACGATTTTAATCTTGGGGCAAATCATAGCTTATTTGATGACTGAACTTTATGTGAATCATTGATTTCTTCTTCCAAGCACAATGCAGCTTATGGTGAACAAAGTAGATTAATGGTATGCATATTGCATACCTAGTACGGAGTACCTACGACACATTCAGAGCTCAGGGCTAGGCACTAGCAAAGTGTAGACCTCCACCTAGGCTAGAACTAGACAGTAGATACCAAACCAACGTAGTGCACCATGTTTGATAGCGTCAGACGTATGCTTCAATCCTATTTTCAACTGACCACTTACTAAAAAGGCATACCAAGTTCTCCAAGTATCTCTGGGTTTGAGTTCCGTCGGGTCTCGCGAAGCATTGGCGAGTGTCGCCCATTTCTGTTAACACCGACCGACCAAATCTTGCTTAGTTTCGGCAAGGTTGGCATATCCCGGCCCTTCCGGCATCCTCGATGCAGATACACAACTTGACAATGTGTTCTTTTACAATCTTTTGAAAAAGCTAATGCGGAATGAAGAGTGCCTTAAATTGCAGAACTAACGACTAGTTAACCATATTGGGAACAGGCCGCCGCGATTGCTCCCAAAGGTCTTCCGATCAACAGTCGAGCTGGGAGAGACTGATGACATAAACGCTGAAACGATGATATGTTGATAATCCGTTCAAGGACCATCCAAATAAGTCCTTGGGGATATCTCAGGATCAACGTGCACGCAACCAGCTGAAAACGTTAGTGTTGTAAATTTCACACTGCAATAGAAGGTGAACAAAGTTTTTGATTGCCCACAGGGGGTAATAAAATTTCAATTAGCACTTACTCCAGGGTTTCGATGCTGAAAAGGAACGCCTCTGGGAAGAAGTCTCGGACCTGCTCAGCCGCTGGGTCCGCCACTCCAGGTGACCCTGCGACCTCCACGTCTTGCGCGAATTCCAAGTCCTCTACGATGTCCTGACCACCGACTAAAAAGGCTATTCCTTCCTGATCAGCATCAATCATATGTATCTGTCCAGTGAAAACCAGCTGTCAGGGATGTGAAAAGGAAACACTTAAACATATCTGACACATAGGTTTAAACAAGTTTAGCTTTTATAAGAACTTGGCAATGATTTCTTGGAATATCATCGCAGCAATCAATAAGAAAAGACAGTCTCGTCACGTTAACTATTCGGCTGACGGTGTGAGACCGGGCTGACAGAGGACAACGCAACCTCCGCAAGAACTTTCAAAACGACTGTGGCAAGGACTCGTGCAATATGCAGACAAGAGGCACCTGCACCTTGAAGAGCTATCTATCTCGCTACGTGGCCCAAAGGGCTAGCTTGTAGAGATGGGCTGGCAAAGAGCAAAGCGACTTCGTCCGGTAGATCCTCAGGATCCCATGATAGTGCGCAAGAACTGCGAATCTCTCCGATATCCAACTTACTAAGGAACCTTCAACACAAACTATCCCCCGCTGCTATATGAATGTCTCAGTGCTGACTTGGTGTTATAAACAATGTTACATAGATATCTCTGGCGCTGCTTACGGACTTCTGTCCGTTGACTTATAAAAATCACAAAAATCAGTGGAGCACCCCTATCACAGTCCGCTCCGCATCGATCAGTTACCCTCCTAGCTGAGTTAGCATGGTGCTAGTCGAGACTGCCAGACTCACTCCAGAGTTTCCAGGCTGAACAGGAAAGCCTCCGGGAAGAAGTCGCGAAGCTGATCTTCCTGGGAAGGTGCTGCAGCTACGCTAGCAAGCGCGACCGGCGGCGGCGGCGGCGGCGGCAGCCCTGCCTGACCCGGAGGGCCGAAACCGGGGCTCGGTGGGCGGTGAAAAGCCACCGGCATGTCACGATGACTTCCTGAGTAGCTCACGCGCGTAGACTTTTGAGAAAAAAGGTATAGTAAGGAATCAGTCAACGCAGCCCCGTTTTTAGGCGACCAGCAACTGCATGCTGACAGCATTATCAGTAAAATCAAATAAGCATACAAATCGCATCGCTAGCATTCATAACGATTCTGTGAAGGAAAAAATCCTTATGCCCAAGCCTTTAACGTAGTTTTACTGTAATGCGCCAATTTACTGTGAACAGACAGAAAGTTTATTGGTATTTTCAAGTTCTTTGAGTCAAACATTTATCAACCATACAAAAAAAAAGTTTTTTCATAGTAACTTAGCAGCACCGTTAAAGATAATGCAAAAACAAAATGTTCTTTTCTTTTCAGCTTGTATTCCAAAAGCATTTTCCCTCATTTATCGCAAAAGCCCCTCAGCTATCGAGATAATTCGCAGCACTTGCGCACGCCATCATCCTCAAACCACGCTAGGTGAGTACCAAGCCCATTTCAAACTGGAGCCTCGTGACAACATTACGTCCAACGGTGGCAAAGACGCTACTCCCTAGCGCGCCTCTTAGCAGTCTCAAGCCGGGCGTGCCTGATCTCCAGTTAGTAGGTACCAGGCGCTCTGGTGGGGGCCTATGCGGCAACCCTCAGTTCGGCTCTTCGCCGGAAAGCTGCGAGAGGAGATACCCGACTCTGCTAGTCCCAGTCCAAGAGAACTGGGCAGCCAACGTTTCGCGAAATTTCAGGACTTCTCCTATTCCAACCCCAAAAGCATGTCAAGCAGCTAGGCTGAAGATACCAGCAATTTCCTCTTGCTGTTGAGGCCACGAAAATGGATTAGAAGCATACGTCTGGCGTTGCCGCGTTAAAGTCGAGCACTTAGTTGCTCGGTTGGTGTCATGCATGCTGATAGCTAGCGTTGCACCACAAACGTGCATGGTTACAACACAAACCTGCATTATCGGGAGACAGCTGACGGGCGCCAAGACGTTGACGGCGACGATGATGCTGGTGACGGGGGAGAAATACCAAGCTGGGAATATGTGGCCATGGCAGAAGCGGAATGGGCGGGGACCTCAAGGAACACTCTGGAATTTCAGGTGAGGTTTTCCCAGCGGCAGCCCCGACAGTAACCTACCGTGAAGAAAGCAGGGGTGGTCGATGTTACGCGGCTTGCCTGGATTTTATCCTCGGTGAGCTCCGGCAGTTCCTTGGCCTGAACTCTCTTGTAGCAGGGCCGAGTCTCCAGGGCCAGGTTGGAGAGAACGAGGAAACCGGCTTCCTGCGAAGGAGACAAAGCTTTGAGAGTGAAAAGTTCACCAGCATTGCCAAAACCCAAAACGAAAATACTATGTTCGAAAAAGCGTTCTAAGCAATGTTTAGCTGTTGAGAGGGGATCGATATCACAAATATGGTGCGATATCTATGCACATTGCACAGTACTGACCACTGTGCCAACTATTCAAGAACTAAAACAATCCGCAGTGATATTCTGGTCTTCCTAGCCATATTAAAATCTCTGACCACCCGGTTGTAGTTTCCAATGTCGGTTCACTTACATCGAAAGGCTTGATGGCGTCTTCGCGATCCGTGCGGAATCGCTGAGACCGTGTCGGTGGAGGGATGAAGAGCGACGAATGGGCAGCTCCGCTGGTTTCAGACTCTGGCGTGCCCTCCGGGGTGGACTGACCAGTAAGCTCGGCCACCGTGGCGCCACCGCTGTGGGGATTGGAAGGTGTTAGATACCGTCGCTCTGGTCAGTCTGGTGGTAGTAAGACGCGGATCCTCGGGGTCACGGATATCAGGATATCACGGCAAGACCCTCGTAAGGAGGTAGACATCAACTTAACAGTCAGCCAGCTGAGCTGACCGAGGACGCCATCCCTTTCTGACAAAAGGCGTTAGAAGTGCCAAAGTGCACGATTTATCCCGGTCACGGATATAGGCAATGGTTGTGAAGTTTATAGGAACACGCTCCAATAATGATTTAGGAACAAATGCTCAACGTTGGCACACTATTAGACACTTTGCTCGTGAACAAGTGTCTATCTTTATCATTTGATGACAACTTAAGTCCATTATTTTGTGTATCGTCTTCTTTTTCACTGTAGGCGTCCACCAGACATTTACGAACCATAACATGTAACAGTTCACCGATGGCCCGAACTCACCTTCGCAGAGTGTCTACCAGTGAAAGCTGCAGCTCCCTGCAGTAATCGCCATCGCTGCGGACCTGGGAAGGCCAAAATAGGAGCTGTAGATAAACGCTTGGTTTTCGTAGTTTTTAAATGCCAGAAAGGTTTCTCATAACGGTGTTCTACATTATATTTGGTGCATCGGTGGGGATGTTATCAAAATAGTCTTATCGACAGCCATATATATATATATATATATATATATATATATATATGTCTATTGTCTGGTGTGTAGACATCCAAGAACATCTTAGGGCTAATAAAATGCACTTCTTTAAGATGAAAGCAACCGCTTACTAGTGAGAAGTCGTCCACCAAACATTCAGGCGACCCATCGTTCATCTTTATCACGCGAATCAACTGGCATAGAGCTCTGTTGGTCAGGACAACTTCCTCATAAAACTCCATATCGTTTGACTTCTTACCTGGTTGGGGCTCTCGAAGCTATTAATGATGAACTGCTGCAGCTTGCTGAACACGGTATCCAGTGTGATCTGGTTGGACGTGCCCAGAAGTTCGGTGCTCTTGTCCACAGCGCCTGCGAACAATCACAGACGTTACGTAAAAGATATCGAAGACACCAAGAATTGACGGTGTATATGAATTCAGCACCGTCGTGCTGACGGTGAATTGACGGTGAATTGCTGAATTGACGGTGCGTATGAATTCAGCACCGTCGTGCTCGTCTGGTGCATGGTGAAAGGTCCAAGGGCTAATGAAATAACGAAAAGGAATATCTGCGCTATACTTTGTCGATCAAAAGACATGGAAATAGTTAGTTAATAGTTTGATTTAAAATGATTTTTATCTCGATAACTGTTGTAATGGCAATAAAAATAAATATATTTGTTTGGCAAAAAATCGAACAACAGTTCATTATCAAGCCACTTTAGATAAGCTACTTTCTTCGCCAAATCACATTCATCACTGTTCCCCACCGCAGACTAATATTTACTTAAAATGCCCCATAACTGGTATTTTTAACGTATCATTTACAAGATGCATTGGAATCCGCATCAGACTATAAATGGCCCTAAAGCATGGCTTTTGCAACCTTTACGAGTTCCCCGCATTTATTTATGAGTTTCAACATTATACTCACTGATTCCACAGACGGAGTTGGGAGAGGCACGAACGGTGAACGAAGCAGAGTCTCCCGGCTTGACCGTCTTCTGATCCCAGCTGACCTGAACCTGAAGTCAGCAAAACAAAAGAATGTCAACTGTCACATCGCAGTTCAGAAAATGGATGTGATTCACAGCTACGTACCTGCTAAAGTTGATTCTATAAAACATTAAAACCTTAGGCCTGGGTAACAAGCAGGGGTAAAGAAAAACATGAACGTTTACGACGGATGCTCAACATGTTTGCTAGCAATTTTTACCCAATCAAATTTGGGGAACTTGGTTGAAATCGTGAAATGGTTGGATCATCGCGATCATCCTGCATGATGTGTTTAAATTCGTCCTATCATTAGAGCTCAATGATATACATACACCAATATTGAATTATGGAAAGTTTGGGATTTGCAGTGGAAATCAAGAAAAAAAGACAACCCAAAAAATAACAGAACTGCGAGTTTTACCCAAAACAAACGAACTAAGCTACACATGTCACCGAACTTTCTACTCCTACATCACTGTGACATAACTTACAGTGTTGGGGAAGCACTTGTCGACCTTGAAGACCCTGGAGTCGCTGACCACTTCGCCACTCTCCTTGATGTAGTAGACAAGCAGCTTGAACTCGGGGCCCATCTTGGGCAGCACCGGGAACGTCAGCGTGTTAGTGTTCATGTTGCCCGCCTTGATGATCTTGCCTCGGGACAGAATCTGTTGAAAGGAAGACATTACCATGGTGAGCTAGAGGATAAAACGACGAACACCATCACAGCTACTGCGTAGCGTAATTCAAACTAAATCTGATAGAGCAAGTAAAGGACGCGTATAAGCATAAAATGGATCAAGCATAACACAGTTTGAGTGAGGATCGTGGCTAAGGCAAACCTTTGCCAGTCTGTAAATTACTTTAAGATTGCGATTGTTCACGACTCACGAGTGAACTTATTTGCATATGCACTCCATCAACCACTGAATACGTGTTACCTATTGTGCTGCGGAATTGAATTCCCTCCCCGATTACTAGAAGCCTTTGCATTATAAAATATGGGTGCATGATGCTGTTCTTGTAGACCATAGAGAGGAGGTATCCTGGGTGTTGAGGACAGCAGACCATGTTGCCTACTTTGAAAACATAGCGCGGACGATTCAGGTCTAAAAAGCAGCTTCCTTCAGCTAACTAACAGAAGTCTGCCAGTAGTTACTTTGGCAGCCAACTTAGCTGTCAGTTGTCTGCAGTGTGGCCTCCTGCTACCTACCTTGTAAACCATGGCTGGCACCGGTCCCTCCTCAGTTGAGAGCAGTTTCACAGTGACATCTCCGGAGCAGGGCAGCTGTTCGGGAAGTTCGTGCGCGTCGATGCTCAGGTACGAGTGGGAAGGCGAGAAGAACGCCGTCAACGTGGAGTGCGAGCTGTCAGAATCGCCACCGACGCTGGTAGAAGTCTGTGGGCACAAGAACACGACGAGACGATGTTAGATCAACGTCCGGTGACGTTTACTTTATGCAATTACTGGTTCATGTATGGGATTTGGATATTTTGGTGGAAGGAAGGCCTAGTAAACATCGACAGCATACAAACCTTCGGTTATCCACACACCTGTCCAGCCTCGAAGCTATGACCGCGAAAATTCGGAACACGACAGGCGAAAGCAAAACACATTTTGTGGTGAAACGAAATAAGTCAAAGTAAAACATTAACATAAAGCAATTGACAGTCCAAAACACATCCCCCCGAGGTCAATCATCCGTTTCGAATCCATACTTCCCGCCATGGGCCATGGGCCTGGGCCCATCCCACTCTCTCTCTCTCTCTCTCTCTCTCTCTCTCTCTCTCTCTCTCTCTCTCTCTCTCTCTCTCTCTCTCTCTCTCTCTCTCTCTCTCTCTCTCTCTCTCTCTCTCTCTCTCTCTCTCTCTCTCTCTCTCTCTCTCTCTCTCTCTCTCTCTCTCTCTCTCTCTCCTCTCTCTCTCTCTCTCTCTCTCTCTCTCTCTCTCTCTCTCTCTCTCTCTCTCTCTCTCTCTCTCTCTCTCTCTCTCTCTCTCTCTCTCTCTCTCTCTCTCTCTCTCTCTCTCTCTCTCTCTCTCTCTCTCTCTCTCTCTCTCTCTCTCTCTCTCTCTCTCTCTCTCTCTCTCTCTCTCTCTCTCTCTCTCTCTCTCTCTCTCTCTCTCTCTCTCTCTCTCTCTCTCTCTCTCTCTCTCTTTCCCTGTTGATTTTTCCTCACGTCACCCCTTATTCCCCACATCCTTCCTCTCTTCACACTCGTCCTTCCCTCGCATGCATCATCAGTGAGTAGTCCCCTCACTTACCCCTCTTACCCCAGCCCACTTACCGAGATGTCAATGGAGTCGATGTCCTCAGCCTGTGGTGGGATATAGTAGACGATGCGACCGTTTTCGTCTGTTTTATACTCGCGACATTCGCCACCGGTGGTGCGACGATTGGGCTCCGAAGTCTCCCAGAAGAACGGCGTGTAGCCGAACTCGATCTGCACGTGCGACTCGTACTGCGGAAGGTATACAAAATAAGATAGAATTTGTGATAAAAAAGCAAAACCAAACGTTTGCGCCTTGGCTTATGCTATGTATCCACAATATTACACGAAGACCAGCATGAGCGAAATAAGACAATTTATGGTTGTTGAAAACAGGTTCTAAAGCTGACTAACAAACGTGTAGCTGATCAAAAAAATAAATAAATAAATAAATAAATAAATAAATAAATAAAAGAGCACGGTCATTAGACCCGAGTAGTTACGGAGCAAACGAAAACCTTGTCTTACCTTCTTGTGTGTGCTATAAACGGGGTCATCGGGAGTTGGCTTCTTCTCGTCACTGCAAACAGATTGATGAAAAAAAATGTTAGTCCCAGACAAAGATACGATAGCGTTGATCCACTGGACGAGGTTCATGGGAGTTGAACCGGACATTGAACAATCATGCAGAATTCTAGCCCTCTGACCTATGAAAAAGTCTTGATAGACTTTAGTTTCTTTTAATTAATTGAAATAAAAATAGAAAAAAACACATAAGACGGTGTGATTTGATCAACTATAGCATATCGAGCAAGGCCATATATAGAAGGTACAGTCACTCCCCCGCCGACCAATCAGAGACAGATCCTGAGTGACGTCATCCCTGATGCTCGCAAGGGGTACTCCATTCCTTAACAACGTAAAAATGACAAACTTCATTTGAAGATTATTGATGGTACTTTTCACATATTGCTCAACCGTTGATGTCACTGGAAAGCCCAACTAATTTTCTAGCGACAAAAAAAGGAGCAATATGCTAAGAAATGCCGGTTTTGAAGATAAACGCGATTTAAAACCCCTCTGCAGTAGCAGAAAAGCAAAGTAAAAACGCATCGAGCTTATATTTTTACTATAAGTAAATCATTTTTCAGTATGTTTCTAGATAACATATTGATGTGAATAATCATTTTATTACAATATTTTTATTATTTGTAACTTTATTTCAAAATAATATTTTCAAAAATGGCAACTGTTGGCAAGAAGCTTGGAAGCGATTGTGGCGCACCACGCCATTATTGTCTTGAGGTCCCCTTATGATGTCATCAAAAGTGGAGTGACATGGGCCTGATATCGAGACACCGGAACATTCCAAGGCAAAAAGAGCAAGCATGGCAGATGGCTTCAATCTTAACCCGCGAGTTGCTGGGGGGGGGGCGTTAAACGCCCCCACTTTTTTCGCTGGGCCATAGCATAAACACGGCGCGCCGCAGGCGCGCCAAATTTTGGGTACCTGTAGGGAATTGATTGAAGTTTATTGTGACAAAGTTTCAAAAAAATCGGTCGGAAAATTTTTGAGATATCGAGGTTTTAGTGACGTCATGATTTCTGAGTTTTCGACCAAAAACGGCATATGTTCAAAAAACCATATAAAATCACAGAATAAACATACAGACATGCCGTAAACGCCATTAGACTGCCAATACCATGATCAATCAAATGGCTATCTTCGATTATTGATTATCGTTCCGCATTTTCCATAATCTTGAACTGAATCTTGGCAATTTTTCGTGACTACTTCACGACCATGATACATGAATTTCTTAAATTGAACTTTTTGAGCCAAACACGTACACATATGATAAAATGAATGTCACCATCGTGTTCTACGCCCCAAATTACCTATAAAACATGTGTCACAGGCTGCGAATATCAGTTTTGATTTTCGGGGATATGTGCCTACTCGGTTGACCTGACCTTGACCCTGACCTATGCTTGACTGACCCCTACATGGAGCTGACACTCTTGTAGGCCTTATAAGATGGATTGTGCACCGTTGTGACAGAGTTTATGGCGAGAGGCGCCCATTGCGAAGTCCTGAAGTCCATGCTACTGAAAGCCCGATTTCAGGTGTTTGACCTGACCTTGACCCGACCTGTGACCTCAAAATTCAACTTTAAAGTACTCATCTGAAGCGTCTCGTCGCGCTCTTTCGTTTGCCGCCTCGTGCGTTTCGCTGCGCCTATTGGTTCTCGAGTTATCGGCTGGGGGCGTTTAACGCCCCCCCCCCCCCCCCCCAGCAAACGGTGGGTGGCGAAATACCCCAGCAACTGCCGGGTTAATACGCTTGTTCGCGGTCCCGACACACAAAGCTTCAAAATAACGTACCTGATGACCCTCTCCTTGTACTTGGCTGTGTAGCAGACCTTGACGATTTCATTCTTCGCAGCTTTACCATCTCTCATACTCAGCGTATACTGAAAAGAAAGAAGAAAAAACGGATGTGGTCATAATGTTAATTTCTCTTAGACATCCATGGATGTTTTATATTGATCAGCTCAATAATATGTTTTTTTTTGTGACTGTTTTATGATCATTTTATTTTACTGATATTGAAATGAACACTAAGTGTGCAGGCCTTGGTTACCATTTAACCCGCGACCTGGTGGGGGGGGGGGGGGCTATTTTTTGCCCCCCCCTCCAGACTTTTCGATATATCTCCAGAACCGCTGCGCCGATCGTCACCAAACTTTCAGTACCCTTCCGGACATCGATTTTACACATTGCATGGTGTGTCAAAAGTGGAAATAGCCGCCCGGCTTTAGTTCGCCAGCCTTGTCAATAGATGGCAGTACCACAATATGGGCAGCGGATCGTGCAATTGACGTCAAATTTACGTTATCTGCTAAGAATTGAATGGCGGATCTTTTCATACAAGAATCAAGTAAAACGGTCCACAACTTTTCTAGCAACAGAGATGTGAAGTCAAACACCCTGCCAGAGCGGCGGCGCGGCGGCCGTCACGCGCCGCCTGGGAGACTGGCGGCGCTGAACGGTTCCGACTTGGCACTGCACTAAAACCTGTTAACTGCTTGGAATAGTTATTATAGCAAAATTTTCATTCAAATGAGGAATAACCAAGGGCAGGAAGTATGTACTATGTATGCTTGTGAACGTACAGTGTAAGCCAAGAAACTGCATGAGCAGATACTCGCTAATATTAGATCCAGCCAAGTCCAAACGCATTCCAGGGGATGTGTTCCTGATGGGTCAACAATATTTATCGTTCGAGGGCGGATACAGTTTTACCAATACAAAAATATTTTTGCACAGCTCTATTCCTTGAATAATTCTCTTCAACGCCTCATTCCTAGTTAAGCGAATTAGCCCACCCTGGTTGAATAAATAAGGCGATTTCGCCACAAGGTCGCGGAAAACCGACCGAAAACGGCCGCGCTCAACGTTAATTTGGGCATGCAGACTCTTAAAAACTCTCATTGGGCGGGTAGGGTTTCCAAGGTATTGGCTCCAAAACACAGTACTGGGCTCCCGAATACGTCCAAGTGACCCGCCTCGTTCCTAGTTAAGCTCTAATTAGATCAAGTGACTCATAAGGAGCGAAAAAAGCGACAAAAAGCATGAATTTCCCTATGGCGGCGGGCTGCCGGGTTGCCAGACGGCGCACCGGCTATTTCCACTTTTGACACACCATGTGACCAAATTTTTTTTTTCCAAATGCTATGATAGGTTGGCCGGAAATGACGTCAGAGTGACGTCATGTTCTGCCGTTTTCGACCCAAAAAAGGGTTTCGCGGGAAGAGCTGTCAGGCCTATAGCTTTGCGAATACAGAAAAATGATAAAGACATAAAAGCTGTAGATTGGACAGGGCTACAAAACTTTTATCTCGGATTTTTGAAACTTTTGGATTTTGACCCCCAAAAATCAAAAAATAGATTTTTTGAATATAATAATCGAAAAATCCAAAAAGTTTTTTTGAATTTCGCAAAAACCGAAATATATGTGATAGTCCTTACCGCCTTCAATCCACATACCAAATTTGAGATTGATACCTCATTTTTTGGCGAAGTTATAGCGAAAAAACTGTTAAAAATTGATGACGTCAAATTTTCAAACTCAATTTTTAGAAGTTCTAGACCCCGTAGCGCAAAACAAAGACCACCATTCGACTCCCCGTGACGAGCTGCATCGAATCAATACCCATTTTATGCAAAACTATCAACTTTAAAATTTGACCTTTTTGGCCTGACCTTGACCTGAACTTCACCAGAAAGTGACCTAAGCCGTACCTGATAGTCTTGTAACCAACACCATTGAGTTGGAAATGAAAAATTGGCCATAAAACATGTATCACACAACCTTAGTAGGGCTCATGTGACCTGACCTGTGACCCTTGGTGACCTGACCTGCGACCTGACCTGGTATTGCCAGTGACCTCTAATAGCAACATATCTACTAGGCAACTGACGCCCTACCGCTGATTCTCGACAAAATGCGTTTTCCTCGGTGTTATAGCGCATTCCCTAGAAGACCCGTGAACGGTGAAACATTTCATCTTTGACCTGACCTCTGACGTCATCGGTGACCCCGAGGTAAATGAAATTTGGTTTCCCTTGACAAATTTGACAGGCCTTTCGAACGCCGTTTGAATTTTGCGGATCCGTCCAGTAGTTTCGGAGATACGAGGGGGGGGGCAAAAAATAGCCCCCCCCCCACCAGGTCGCGTTACAAACAGACCCCACCAGGGCGCGGGTTAACGAAAAATAGAGTGATGAAACGGATGGTGAATCCACAATATTTATTCACAACCGAACGAAAAAGTCGCTAAAATAGTCCCGATATCATATTGTTTAGCCTGTATTACAGTTGGGTTACTGGGTTTCATCAGCGTGCACATTGCACAAGGCACAAGTCGAACCCTTGAGGTCAATCAGCGTCAAGCACCTTACTTCTGACCAAACGCTCACATGTCATTTATGCTCTCGCCCCTCCCTCAACCCTAAGGTCAGGTTTGCGCAAGCTCACCTCTCCGTAGAAGGGCAGCTTCGGCTTCAGGAACTTCTGCGCGTTGTCGCTCTGCCTGAGGTTGATGAAGGAATACGCTTGACTGACCTCCTTGACCTCAACCTGCCGGAGTCCTGTACCCTGCTCTTCCACATCGATGGTGATGATGACCTGAAGAAATCAGCGAGGAGATATTGGCCAACGTCAGCAAAAATCAGCGCACGTCAGCAATCTGAGGCCTCTTGCACCAAAATCCTTTTGCACCAATGCTCGGATTATTTTGCATCGTATACCCAGTCCAAGTCTCAAATGTAACAATTTGCGTGCAAAATTTAGCAAGCACATGTAGGATTATGTATTGGGCTATTGCAAACAAATTTACCACCGTTAGATTAGCTTATTCTGAAACCGGTTTTTCGATTTTACCTAGCTAGGTAGTTTGGTGCAAGAGGCCTCAGCGCAGTAAAAGCAATGTTCGTCAGTCACATGCTACACGACGGGTGTCAGCGCAGAAGCAGACATCAGCAGTCAGCACAAGGCAGCACTAGCAACATATTTACACAATCGAGATCTATGGATGGAACACATCAGTCATCACCTATAATGAAAGTATTGCACATAGACCAAGCATCATGCAAACTTTGACCATAACCATTTTTGACAAGCCAGGACGTATTCAAATCTCAGTAGGAAATTATGGATATATTTACTAACTATCCATAGCAGGTAATGTTTCGGACCTCCGGGAAACCGCCATGGCCAGGTCACCGTCACAGTCCAACACTTCGTTACCTAGCGATCATCCACCCACCGTATTTCCGCCTCCAATATTACGATGACCGATGCCGATCTTGCTGACCACCAGGTCAAAGATGGCACATCCCTGCTCGTCGCTGAACTGATAGTCGGAAATATTCCTCAGCAGATCCTTATTATTGTTGTATTGCCAGCTTCCAATGCCTCTGGCTGTGGCATTGATGCTTACGTTGGCAGCAATAAGCGGCTTTCCGAAAGTGTACCTGTGAAGAGCGGATAAGACTGTAGTTAGATTCATGAGTCGGTGGTTACTGGTTGGTACTTGGTAACCGTCCTCATAGCAACAAAAGCTGAATGGAACACATTAGGGATTGATTATCCGGGGACTGAGATAGGGAAATTGGACAGATCGGTGGCCCGCAAGAAAGGGACCATTAGGGATAAGCGACTGTAAAAAAAAATGTGCAGCAATCTTATAATGTCATCCTCCTATAAACAAATTACCAACATCGTCGCATACTGCTTATGCACGTATCTTTTGTGATATGACCCCAAGTATGTACAGCCATGAGGGCGTATTTTATCCTATAAATGATCAGTTGTAGCATCAGGGCTGCTAAGAATACCTATCTTGAACACCAGTATAGCGCCTTTTGGGGCGACTAACGGAGCGAGCGAGGGGGTGAGTCTTGCACGTGCAAAATTTCGAGGGGGTACCTCCAACTGACTTGTGCACGGCACCCTACTGACCGGTTTCTAGCGATGTGCCAAATTTGAGCACAATCGGCCCAGCCGTTCTCGAGATCTGGGAGCGGCACCCTGCACGTGCGCACGTGCAAAATGGGTCCCAACTGACTTGTGCACGGCACCCTACTAACTGGTCCCTAACCGTGTACCAAATTTGAGCGCCATCGGTCCAGCCGTTCTCGAGATCTGGAAACGACCCCTGCACGTGCGCACGTGCAGCAGCACCCCAACTCTGGCACATGGATATGCAGTGCCTAGTGGGTGCCTACCTACATGCCAACTTTCAGCGCAATCGGCCAAGTAGTTACCGAGATATTGCAACAATTACAAAACTGACACCTCTCCGTTTTGCACGTGGCACGTGCATAAGGGGTCACCCACATGCATCGGGAATAGTACAATACTTGGTAGAAGAAATGAAGCTACCCTACAAAAATTACCGCGTGTAAATCGGTCAAGTGGTTGCTGAGATATAAGCCTCGCAAAAGCGTCCGCACGGCCGGCCGGCCGGCCGGCCGGCCGCTCATACTCAGAAATTTCCGTTAATCTAAGGAAAGACTACGCTCGCTTCGCTCGCTCCGTAATAAAAAATAGTTCATTCGTTGGAAGCACGTCCGTCGAATCGACAAATGGCTGAACACTTTATCGCTGGTCTATATCGACTCTCGTTATACGGACTTCCAGGCCCATGTTTCATCATCAGATGGGGCTGGAGGGGCAGGTACTTACAGCGGTCGAGCTCAAGGTTAACTGGGGGGGGGGGGGGGCAATAACAACGTCAACGCTTAGGGTTGTTGTCTGCCTAATTGGTCTCTCATACATTGTCACTCGGGACATTGATCGCTTGGCTCTGCGCATTGTCGCTCGCGAATTCCGATGACAATCTTTGAGCTGCATGCTAGGAAGGGTTCAACATCGGGTATTGCAAGTTCAAAACCGGGGCCTCAACCGGTCAGAAAGCGTGGAACTGAATCAACGACAGAGATTACGTGCGCAGTAGTCCGATCCACCGATGACGTCACCTGTGACAAATGGTCGCCGCACTGGTGGCAAATATAAAATTTGCAATTATTAACTATGAAATGCCCTCGCGATCTCATAGTGAGCCCTAAGTATTGAGCGTTTTATAACTCATCTTCATATAAATTCTAACCTTGCAATTCACGATCTTATGTCGGCTTCTCATGAATTCAGCAATGGCATGACAGTTTATTCGTTACAGCAAACGTCTCTCGCAAATATTCAATCACCTGAACAAACTCGCATTTCATTGGCATCGTCCTTGAGCGAATCGTTGCTGCGCCATTAACCGATGGCTGCTCAATCCCTTGTGTGCCTCTCTAAAACTGGTTAAATATTCAAACCATATGAGTGAACTGACCATGGGTAGCGTTACGTGCCGGGCCTGACAATGCTCCTCTGACATTCTCAGGAATTTCACTGAATTCGCAATTAATCTGTGTAGCCCCTAATACGGCGAATCGCTTGTTGAAACAATGGGATTCGTTTTTACAGCAAACATTTATCGTTTGATCCCACGCAGGCAGCTGAATGTTAAAAATCATTGCTATTAATGGTGCTGCTATCATGGTCTGACGTTGCAAATGTACTTGCTTTCGTGCAGGCTTTCAAAAGCGCAATAAGCGTGGGCTTTTTTAGAGAGAAATAAGTGTCAGGTGCATGGTTGATATGTGTTTTTTTAGGCAATTTTAGGCTTTTAGGCAATATGAAGATTCATGAATTCTGTAATATGGCTATACCTACGTGATCAAAAAGCTGAGGCGAAGGCACTATACACTGTTGTGTCGGAAACGATTTTGTATAAAATACCGCTAATTAGGCTTCCTTTTGTAAGTATTGCATTTGAATTTATTTCATTTTATCGCAGAAAGAAATAAAACCAAACCCCTCTTAAAGACTGAAATGCTAAATGAAGATCGGTGTTCGATGATACACAAAAATAGTAGCTAAAAACAAGTTTTTACGTCAGGCGTCACGGGACTTTCCCCGCCAGTCCCGTCCCATTCCGTGACTCTTGTGTGACGCTCCGAGCGAACCGTAACGTCCCGTGACACATCGTTACTCAGCAAGGACAGTGGAGTGCGCACTGGTGCCCGGGTCGCACTGTCAGCGTCCGCTGTCACCACCCCTGATCCCAGTGTGCCAGCCACCCGGTACCGGATATACTGCACCGGAACAATAGCGCACCCCTGGGGCAGCCCAGCTACATTTAGATTTTCCAGCGACACTGAACGCACCCGCCTCGGGTACACAGAGTGTGGGCATAGTCATTAGTTTGGGATGAACAGATGATGCCTACAATCAGCAATTTGTGCATGGAGGAAAACGAGAAATTAGGAATTTCGCATTATAAGCAGCACAGCAGATATAAATATCCATTGGCATATGTTTTTACTTTTTGTTTATCGGTGACATTAAATTATGTTCCAATATTATCAACCTCCGGTCGCAATGCATCTAAAATAAACATAAGCATTAAATCCAAAGTTGTCTTGGCGATGTCCTCAGTAAAGCATGATCACATAAATCTGGGTGTGCTTGCTGATAAACATTGAGAAACATCTCACTAGGTATAAAGCTTAAAAAATTAACGATGAATAATTATCCATAGAAGTTTCCATTGTATGGTTGTTTATATATATATATATATATATATATATATATATATATATATATATATATATATATATATATATATATATATATATATATATATTGTGTGTGTGTATAAGATTTTCATTCCAAATATTGGCTCAGCTGTTTGATTCGTTGACACACAAGGCTGTTCCCTTGCACCTCCGACATTTTGACAACACGTGACTTGTTTTATACTCACTTTGCGCAAACTTTAACGGTGACAGTCTTCTCGTTGCTCTCAAGAGACTCGGGTGCCTCGATCTCCAGCTCAAATGTTGGCAGAACATACTCCTCCACCGTAAATCGCTTGGTGTAGGTGTCCTGGGTAGTCCGCACGTGAATTGTCCACGAGCCCTGTGAAAGGCAAACATGAGCTGAACATGAGCACCACTGGTCACCACGGGCCAGTCCAAACATTGATCGCCACACAGACTAAACAACCTCACCAGCAAGCACACCATCGGTTGCTGGCTTCTGCTTTGAAAACCCTGCCTGCCCTATGGATGACATTTAGAGTGTTAACCTCGGTAGGTATGTGTTTAAATAAGGACATGATGTATACATGTTCGGTCCCATCCCCCGCCCCCAGCAAACTATCGGTTGCTGGCTTTTGTTCTAAGAAATAAAAGGGCAAACGCAAGCCCCATGGATGACATTTAGAGTGTTTATAATGTCGGTATATGTTTGAACATAGACACCATGTGCATGTTCTGGGTTCCATTGTTTTTCTAAATGCAACATTTCATCTAGAGCCGATAAATGCACACGCAAGAGCACAGAGAACCGTCACGCAAAACCAAGTGGGGGTCGCAAATTTTCACAAATGTATGCATTTGCTGACTGCGCAGTAACGCCGGGAAGCGTATTGACGCTAATGGATTGCCAGCAGGCCCACCATTAGACTCTGCAAGCGTTTCGCGCTTTCTGTAGCTGCGCAGCACTTTTCCAGTAGCCTTGTCTTGTTTTGTTGCCGCGCAGCGCGCTTCTATTGTGACCTGTGCAGAGCTGAGGGCGCAGCAGACAACACGAACCGACGCTAACCGGTTCAAAGACCAAGGTCAGCACAGCCCGCCAAACGAGTCACCTTCGGATGAGAGCCGCTGGTGAATAGGCGAGGTCGTTGGCCCCGATGCACGCACATCGAGAACCGAGGTTATTCCCGGGATTCCAAATCATTAGATGGAAAACCCACACAATCTCAGATCTCAAACGATCTTTTAGTCTTATTCGGGAATTCCCTTCTGCCCATCAAGTTAGTAAAAGCAGACTAAACTCTAAATTTGCGAATCGCACACCCTTTATCACCGTCAGGTAGGAAGGAGAGATCGCCTGTTCTGATAGTCCGCAAACAAACATGTGATAATACCGCCGGCTTCTTGCAATGTGCGGATGGAAGGGAGATACGGTCGCCGCATTCCGAGTCGCCAATCGGCTCCGTCGGGGCCTCAGGTTCAAGGTTGTACCCTTCAGGGCCTGGACCGATCGGCATAACAGAGCTGGACGTTGGCATGGCAACAGTCCACGCCGGCTGGAGTGGGGGCCGGGACTATAAACAGCGGGAGGCCAGCGCCGGACGAAACCAATCGCTGGAGAAACCGTCCACTCGATATCGGGACACTACATTCATGAAGTTATTGGCATCGTGGTACTTTTGCGCGGTAAAAAAAGTGAGAGTCAATGAGCAGTGTCAAAAACCAAACCTGACCTGACATCTAAAGGTTATTTGAACGTTTCGGGGGCCCGCCACTATAGCAATGCATCAAAATAAGTGAGACGATGAATCATAAAGTAGCAAAATGCAACTGAATGATATTTTTCGGCACAAGCCCAAGAAAATATGAAGATCAAACTAAGAGCTGCTGGCTCCAGTTATCTAGCTGAATAAATATTTGTGTAGTGGTTGGTGATCTGATTGAACAGTGACAACTGAAGAATGTTCAGATGACGTTCAGCTGTTTATGTAGCATTCATTTTTCTAGTACATCTGTTTTACATCCAATGTAATATGTTGTCCAACTTATTGTTCAGTTGGTATAGAGCACTGGACTCCCGTTGGCCTAGCGTGAGCCGTTAACTCGTTCATTCAAACATTCGAGCCAAATCTACATATGCATATATGTATGGTATATCTTTGCGCTCCCTTACTAACCAGAGGTGGCTCCTCGGTCAGCTGCAGTTCCAGCTGCACCATGCCAGTGTTGGTTTTCACGTTCTTCCACTGGGCCACGCGGATGTTGTCCGGAGTGGTCACCCACACCTCATTCAGCTGAAAGACACAGCGACCGAGCGTCAGGTCACAGGTGAAACGCGATCGAAAACGGACACATCGCTATAATCGCGCATAGTTATTTGTTCGCGTATTGTTTGCCCATCGTTTCCATTACGGACCGTTTTAGCACAATTCTTCTGCAGCATGCCGATTGAACTTGAGAGGGCAGGTCTATGGAAGTGAACACTTTCAGTGTAAAACAAATCTTCTTACTCAAAACTGACAATAAAAATGAAAAAGTAAGTGAGATGGTAAATAGCTCGTCATGCAGCTCTATTTGTACATGATTGAATACACCAATTTTTTTTTAAATCAGGGCATCGTTGTGAAGCATCAAACCCCATCTCCATAGGATATGCTCTCGCTGCGGGACACTCACGTCATTGTTGAGAGCGGTCAGGTCGTGGCTGAGTGTAACCACTCGGAAGAGCACCTTCTGACCAGGCTGGTACTTGGACTTGTCTGTCTGAACCAGCGTCAGAAACGTCTCCGATTTCAGAGTCACCTGCAGGACAGTCGGCACGAGCAGAAGGTTAAAGTTACAGAGCTTGCAAGCGGAAGCCACACGGAAGCAAGTCCCTAACGCAAGAACGATGATAAAAATATAAAAAACTAACTGAGTTGGCCAATCCTGCCCAGACAAATAAAGAATATATCAATGAATATCACACTACTGACCAAGTCTCTTCCTAAACTGAGGCACGCCCGCCGTGGCGAAGTAGCACCGTCATCGGACTAAGCCGGGGAGGAGGCGGGGGTGGGGAGGTGGTCTGGTCGCGGCGGGTCGATGCGCCGTGGATTCAAGGTCGGTCAAACTCTACACTCTCCCAGCCATTTATGGACTGAGCGAGGTCAGTTGGAATCGGTCAGCGACCGTGACGTCTGGCCACGACTCTCGTCTCTCACGCCGGTAGATGGGCATGATGGGCAGAGAATGAGCAGGAGCAGGATAAACAGCCGGAGGCGACAGATGACTAGAGGTAAATAAAGTGGCCCGGAGCCCGCAGAGGGAGAGAATTGATACGGGGAATCTACCTCGCTTCGTAATTGCAGAAGTGGAGAATATTTTACGGATAATTATTGAACCAAGAAACTGAAAAAAGAATTAAATGAAAATGTAATCCTGCCAGCTTGGTGGCATATTATGACCAAGTAAGACCTCAAAATGTGATAAACTATGCAACGTTTGTTTGTGCGTCACCCGGATCTGGTTTGGGCCACCTTGTTTCACCATGGGTCCTAGCACCGACCCTAGGTGAACACCCGCGAGAGTTCACTCACCACAGACTCCTCCTTCCAGACGCCTTCGCCAGCGGTCAGCTCCATGTGCATGTCAGCACTGCGGGCCACCACCTTGGATGGAATGGTGATATCGAAGCAGTACTCTCCATTCTCTGACGAAACAACGACGTACTCGTATGACGTATCAGCCGTGAGGCGGGCTTAGGAGGAGGACGAGAAATAGCCAAAGAATTGATGCATTTGAAGACAAAAATTAGTGGGTAGTTAGAAAATTAATTATAGTAAACTAGTTATTGGTGCCTAGAAAGCGGCAAAAGCAAAAGATCCCTTCCCTATAGGCTGCCTTATATGAAATTCTGCAAGTACCTAGTGTGCATAAGTGAAATAACTTGATGGCTTTCTATTTATATGTAGCTAAGGGAATTCGCATCTCAAGTCGAGTAGGTATAAATCAAACACGCTGCCAGCCAGACCCGTACATTTACCTACCTTCAGTAAATATAATTCAAGGTAACTATATACTCAGCCCAGATTGAGAGATAAATAGAAAGCCTATTGTAAACAGTCTATTAATCCAAACAGCCCTTGACAAACAGCCAATTATATATTCACCCCAAGGAAAAAAAATCCGTTAAAACCAACCTGCTACGCTGTCCGGCACTGCAGTGTTTGTCTCAAACAACAGGAAATCGCTCTTATCTAGCGTGGTCGACAGACTGCTTGGAACGTCGCGCTCGTAGAACTTCAGGTTGAGAGCGCGATTCGGCCCGGGTAGGTTGAACAGACTGAGGCAGGCGCGTTCATCTGTGCCAGCCTGAAGTACTTTGGGTGCCGTGAACAGGTACCCGCTGAAAGAGAGAATGACGAATGTTAGAACACAGCATATGTAGCGCATGTATCTGCCGAAACAGGGAACGGTGAACGCTAGGAGACATCACATGCGGTACAGCCCACCGCTAAAGTAATGTAGGGTTTTACCAATCTCAACGGTTGGCTTTGACTGGCGATTGTTTAATGCGGAGTGATCGAAAAGAAGATGTCAATAGCTAAATAGCTAAAGTTGCAGCTGCAAGGGTGATGATACATATAAGCTACATTCAAAGTTTCATTGTAGTCTGGTTAATCGTTCCTAAGCTTCATAAGCAGAACATACCCATGACTGAAACCCCACATTACTTCTGCTGTGGACTGTACCTGCTGGAATAGAGAAGAGTCCCCGCTCTTTTAGAGTACGCCGTCTAAAGCAGGAAGTGTACGTTGAAACGCGATGACTGCCAGAGTTCGGTAATTTTTAATGTATCGGCAGTATAAACGGTACCTTTGTTTTGCCGTCCAAAGGAGTTTTTTTCTTTTCTTTTTTTTTTGGAAGAGTAATTTGTCATTTATAAAACTCATTTACATCACGCCGTTAAGTGTAACCATCTTTGAAATCAACAGTAATTGGAAAGGAAGTGTGTTCCTTGCCGTTCCCAATATCAAAGCTGGTGACTTTTAAAGATAATTTAGACCGGTCACAGTGTGTAATTTCTACAGCAAGCAAAAACCACTCGCAAAAACCAAAAACGCTTCATCCTATGTGATACATACGCAATTCAGATTGAGTATCATAACTATACAACCAAACGGTCATCATATCTGTATAATGTATATGTTACAGAGAGTTTGAGAAATCCGTGAGTTAGTTGCAAACTCCCTAGGAAGTTTGCAAACTCCCTTCCCCGTCAGTGAGTTTGCAAACCCACTAGGGGGTTTACAAAATCACTAGGAAGTTTGCAAACCACTGACCGGTCAGGGAGTTTGCAAACTTCCTAGGGATTTTACAAAAACGAATTTTTCAAACTCCCTGTAACATATATAAAGTTCACTTTCTAACGAAGAGGGCCTCTTTACCAGGAGCCACCCGCTTTCATCGCCAACCACCCTTGTGGAGGCCCCTCTGGTCTGTGATTAGCCAATGCAGACCACCGATATATTTGTAAACACTTCAAACAGTCTGCCTGCTCGGTGACAGTATCCAGACAGTTACTGCCCAACATCACATCTTTACGGGGCGAGAGCTAGAGATGTAAATCGGACGCCAAGTTTTTGTTATGAAGACCTACAACTGCTCGCTTTTAGAGTAAAGTATAATTGTAAGACAATCCCAAATAAATTACAAATTCAGATAATCACAACTGCTAACGAAACTATCGCCATCATTCGACGAACAGACACTGACAACGAGTCTGTCATTGCCAGCTTGTGGCCGAGCGTTGCATTGTGTTGTTTGCAAACGCTGCTTTTCGCTATCAACCCCAGGCGACCCTTGGAAAGCTCCGACCGCACCAGCCTAGCAATCGATTCGTGAACCGCCTGCGGCATGATGGGTCCATTTAATATTCATCATGTCACGAACCACCACCTTTCTGCACCCAGCTAACGTCAAGGTCGTTCGGGCAAAACACTTTAATAGATGAACTGAAGCAATGAGGAACATTCATTTCGCCGTAACAACATGACAATTAGGGAGGTTCTGTTGCATGCGAGTTGAGGCTTGTAATATTATTGTCGGGAAGACGGCAGGCTTAGGTGGAGTTCACACGTTGTTTTGAATGTCAAACACCTGGTGTACTCGACATCGACTAACAACATGAATGCCCTTAGCAATGTCAAAGGGGCACCGGTATGTTTTTGTTTTGCATTGCAGTCTCCAGGAATCATTGTTGTAAGAAGTCTGAGACCGCCACTTTACGTATATATTTTGTTTCCCTGACATTGACACTTGAGAGCATGTCGTTATCGAAGGCTTTGTTATCTTGTCAGTACATAACTAAAAGTTGAGTATATAACACATTCAAAAATCAGCACCGACCGGCGTCGACCGCTATTTTTGGTATCTATACTTCTAAAGCATTACGTTACGTCTTTTTTGCAAGGCATCCGCTGAAAAAACTCAAACCTTTTGGCCTCATCATTATCCAATAAAAGACACAAATAACTGGTCATGCTACCTCTGCTGCGTCCGATCATTTATGCTGATCATGCAGCTAATAAATAAACTTCTTTGGCCCGCTGAGGGCACTCCGTACAATATCATGCGCAAATCACGCAGCTATCACGCCAGCGCACGCCACGATTGTAAGGGAGGTCGGTTCTGCCCCCCCGCACCCCTCGCCACCCTACCCCCCCCCCCTCCCTCCCAACCCCGCAAAAGTGCCAGCCCGACTGTGACATGTTCAATCACTAAACATATACGAGTATAACCTTTCATTACGTGTAAACACTCCGTTGGCAGCACGTATCGGTGGGGTAAACCTTGTTTAACTTGAGACCAGATTTATCACGGGCGGGTGGTATGTGTATATGTCGAATATTTTTTCGCGCCTTGCACAAGTTCATTTATAGATGATTGTTGCCAAGTCAAGGATGACATTTATGTCTGGGCTGCCAAAGATGGCGCTCCGTGAAGTGGATCTTGGTTGAATCCTGTACAAATATTTAGGAGCCCGAAGGTAAATAATTCATTGATTCGTTTTAATATTTAGATAAATAGATAGTTTCACATGAACTTTACCAACTTTAAAATATCATTTTTAGATTGTGTTTTCAAGAAGACCCTTCACAGGAATACAGCATTGGAAATTCCTGTTACTGAAACTCTTATTCAACAAAAAGCCGGCGTAAGAAGATCGTTTACAATAAAATAAATGACAAATTACTGAATAATGTGCAGCTGCAATGGGTTACAAAATAAAACTTCTCACGCTCCGACTACGTTAATGTGTTCGGAGGGTGTTGATATGAGCCCCTGACCCCTATGCTCCCTGACCGGTTGCTTTAGCCAGTGAGTGACCAGCGGGTGTTGTTTGGTACACCCAGATAAAGGCACGACCACCTTGACCAACCGCTCTTTGTCTAGTGGCACCTTTTTAATCGGTGTTGTCCACTTGCCGTTCGTGTCTCCTGTCACCAGCGTGTTGTTTCACTAAGAGCGAAAGCAGGATTGGCTGTTTTTGCGCCATTTCACTCTGTTCATTCGTTTTTGTATGCAGTGGATTACTGTCGGATTAATGTTACACAGAAGACGGCAGCAAGGACAAGTGTCTCTTCGAGAAGAGCAAAACCACTGGTGGTTCGAAAACATAGCTCTTTGCCTGCTCAGCCGTTCTGTTTTCCCTTTCCAGACGTCAGTCATTGCCCTGTCCTTGTCTACGAATGCTTTACTCTCGCTTCCCAACTCTTCCCAAAGACGTCCCTTCAAACTATCGGTCTATGTTAGCCGCTAAGCTACCTCCACCCCAACCCGCCCTCAGAAGTCAAAGCTAGTCTCAAGTCTACACCGGCTGCTACCCCTCCCCTTTGGCCACCCCCTCCCCCGCCTCCCCCATCCCTCCCTTGAGCCGTCTCGCGCCGCACTGGCTTCTGCAGCCAAGCGCCCGAGGGCAGGATGGATGGTTCCACCGCCAGCTCCCCAAGGTCAACTGGTCAGCTGACTGAGAGTTCGGGGCCCTCCAGCAGCCCGCAAGCCTGCTGAATACTAAATCAGACGCGGGCGGAGGGGGTGGGGGGGGGGAGGGGGAGGGGAGGGTCTACGGTGCGCGCTTGGCAAACACCACTCGCGTCGCTCCATACCAGGAAACCAGCATGGAATAGCCAACCTGGGCAGGTGGAATTGCCCGACTTTGTAAACACGGTGGCATGTCGTGCGGTTTATGACAGGCGCTGTCGCGAGGCCTCTGGTTCAAGTCGCCAAACAGGTGGTATTTGCCGGCATTGGGGCGCCACTTCGCGGAATTTCAGTTGATTATATGTTATGTCTTGCATTGCTGAATGAATAGCACATGCAAGGGGGATATGTGATGACAATGCATGGAAAAATGAGCTGTTGAGGTACAATGGAATGAATATAGAATGCGTAGTATGATAACCAGTCTTATCAGTTACTACAAATTATCACCACCAGGGCTGCGGAGTCGGAGTCGGAGTTGGAGTCGGTCGGAGTCGATAGAGTTCTGCCAGGAGTCGGAGTCGGAGTTAACGCTGCATGGCTCAACGCAATGCACTACACCTGTTTGATTGACGATACTGCGCTCGCCATTAGATTTTGTCAAAAAAGGTCATTTTGCTGTTTTGGACGAAAGTTTTCAGCGAAAGAAGCAGACGACGGTGAATGCCCCAGAACCTGGTTTTTAATTTTGCATGTTATTTTTAATGCATATTTGCAACGCAAAGTTTTGGAAGGTGCATAAGCTCATTTCAGGCAAGATAAAAACAACTCCATTATGAACTTTAATATCATGATATGCATTGGATCATGGTGGATAGATCAATATCATAATAGAACCGTGCGGAATCGGAGTCGGAGTCGATTTTTGAAGCCGGAGTTGGAGTCAGAGTCGAAATCACCCTAAAATACACCACTCTGATCACCACTAAGTGCGGCTAGGCACCTAACTATTGTCTTGCTTATTTTTGCAAGCAAAGTCATGTGATCATTGACTTCAAAAACAATATCGTATATCTAAATCACCGCAGAAAGCCAAGTAGGTATGTCATATGTATGAAGCCTAGTAGTGTAACGAATATCTACTACCGAAGCTACCACGGGCGTAGGAACGTCATGAAAAGTGGGTGGGCCACCCTGTCAAGGGGCCTCCTTTTCCAGGGGGCCTCCTATTTTCAGGGGCCTCCAACTTTTGCCTCGTCCTGCTGGCTGCTTTCAAGTAGGTATGACCTCCAAATCTAGCTTCTGAGATCGGGCAGATGAACCCAGGGGCGTAACCGCTTAAGCGAACAGAGCGGAAAGTCCGCACCATTTTTAAAACTTATTCCCCCTCCGATTTTTTTTTTAGAAACTATATGCCGCAAA